AAATGGCTCGTCTTGGAGGGTCCAGACCCCCTTCCTTTTATAACGAAATCTGGAGTACCCTCCACGATTTCTGAGCGAAGTGAACCCCGCCCGAGCGAAGTGAACCCCACCCTCCCCCTCAGAAATCGTGGGGGGTAGGGGTAGGGTTCACAGGTGGCCCCCTACCAGGGAGGCCTGGGTTGGGGTGGGTGGATTCTGATGGCCCCCGTCGGCGGCCCCGGCGATGCAGTTGGATGGAGGCGGCGCGCGCGCCGAAGACCGAGAGGTCAACTTTTGATTTGGGGCCAGCGCGCGCCGAAGGCAGGTCAGAGCAGCAATGTTCGATGGTTCTAGGCGGCGTCGTCCCTGGTCAAAGACCAGCATTTTCGCGCGATCGCTCTCGCAATTGTTTGCGCTGGTTCGCGGCGCCCCAGGACCGTTCGCCAAGTCGCAGGCTGGGTCGGTTGTTGCACGCCCGCGAAGCGCTGTCTCATCCCCCTCTTCCTCCTCCCCCCTTTCCCCTCCTTCCCCCTCCCCCCCCCTCCGTCGTCCACCACTCCTCCGCCCCTCTGTCACGCCTGCGGAATCTGGCGGGGGCGCCCCGATCACCTTCAGATGCAACAGGTTTGGGCAACACAGTCCAGCCATCCATTAGATGCACAACACATGCGGTATTAGGGCCATGATGGCAGTATTTCGGGTTTTCTCTTTCTAGCGTTCTCGAAGCCGCCAAGGGCTCTCTCTAGGGGCCCCTTTGCGGTTTTGTCGCGCCATCGTTGGGCACCCTTAGGGCCACGGAACGGCATCGCACACAAGCGACGATTACAGCCACTTGTACGTTCATGGCGTTGATGGAGATTCGCTTCTTGCGCTGACGGGTGGGGGCGCCTTACGCCCGCAATGTATCTGGATCAATATTCAAAGCAGGCCGCGCGGCCGCCAGGAAACGTAACCGATGGCATTTGGACCCATATAGGGCTTATGCGCTATCTTGGATGCCATGTTGGACCATCTGGGGCCGTCTTGGAGGCCTGTGGCGCTCGTTGCGTCGCTCATGCAAGCGACGCCTGGAGATGAGCCGACCTGGTTCCACTTTTCTCCGTCCGTAGCTCTCTGGCCCAGGTCATTCGAAGCCCAAAGGGAACGACCTATATCCCCATCTAGGGGGGTTAAGCGGCCAGTGGGGCCCAGGCCACGCCGTTGGGGATGGGGATCAGTTAAACGATACTCAAAAATTGGTGCCTTCTCTTGTGCCCGACGCGGGCTCGATGCAGACTCGACGCGGATTTGGCGTGGATGCGACGCGGACTCCGCACAGATCCGACGAGACCGACCTGGTTTCGACACGGACTCGACGCGGGTAGGACCGCGACGGGACAGACGAGGTCCCCCGAGGATGCAGCAGAAGGTGTGGGGAGGGGGGTCCAGCGCCGACGCGAGAAATCAGTCCTTTCGGACCTTCGAAAGTTTGCGTGTACGTGTGCGTGTGTGTGTGTGTGTGTGTGTGTGTGTGCGTGTGTGTGTGGTGTGCGTGTGTGCGTGTGTGTGTGTGTGTGCGTGTGCGTGTGTGTGTGTGTGGTCTTGTGTTGGTTGCTCTCCCACGGAGGGCCGGCGCCCCCTCTCGGAGCTCGTGTCGATTTCTTCGGTTCGATCCGATCCGATTTCGACTTCTTCGATTTCTTCGATTCGATTTCTTCGATTTCTTCGAGAGCTCTGAGAGGGCCGGCGCCCGCTCTCAGAGCTCATTTCGATTTCTTCGATTTCTTCGATTCGATTCCAAGTCGCTCCGACTCCGGATTCCGATTCGGGGTCCGATTTCTCAATGGAGGCATACTATCCCGCCGATGTCTGCCAATTCGACGTTTCCCGACTCGGCCGCCGATGTCCGCCGGTCCGATGCATTCCGATCGCCGATCCGACTTCTGATTCGATTCCGGGCTCTCCTGCCTCGTTCCGGGGTGGACAGAGCCCCCAACAGTGACACGTCGATGAGTGAGTTGTCCGTCTTCGGTGCTCGAGGATGGCGCCGTGGCCGTTGCTTTCCAGGCTTGCGCCCGCCAGGCTTGGGCCTCAGGTCGTTTTCACTAAACCACGTTTTACGAAAGGGAGGTCTGTCCATCCCCTTGAGAGACCCGTTCCCCACTTCTTGTCGAGGAGATCGGCCCCCTCCCCGTTGCGCTCCGAAGCCTGGGCGCGGAGAGCGGGCCACTGCCCGCGGCGCAGTGCCCCGGGCATGCCTCGGGGCTCCCAGGGAGCGGTGCGCCGCGGAGGAGGTCGGTCACGCTGTGCCCCCCCTGCGCCTCCTCCTCCTCCTCTCCGCCTCCTCCGCCTCCTCCTGTCGCAGGCGATGTTTCTCCCCCAATCCCCGAGTTTCGCCCAAAAAGTTCGGCCGCTCAGAAAAATGGAAAAACCCTGGGATACACCCCAAGGGGGCTATTCGGACGCACCCCTATCGAGGATGGGCACCCCCCCATCGTATATCCCAGGGTTGGGCCCCAAATTTCTGGTCCATTCGGAAACCCCACGAAGCCTGGGATAGGGGTCGACGTATCCCTTGTTATCCTCCTCCTCCTCCTCGGGTCTGTCCATCCCCGACTCGTGAGAGCATCGGTTGCATGGCGACGGCCAGTGCTTCGCAGTGTGTTCTCGCCGGTGGGCTCCAGCCTCGGGGGTCGAGAGGTCGGGGCGCCCCCGGCCTGGTGCGGCTCGGGCTGGACCTGTACTCGTAGGCGATGCTTAAGGAAGCCCAAGTTTTCGGCCAGAGTCTCGATTGTTCTTAATGGTTCAAGTGGTGGAGAGACATGGAGGAGAGACATTACAAATCACAAGTGGTGGAGAGACATGGGAAAGGATTTTGTTGCTGCTATCGGTAAGTTTACTACGAGCGCTCCAACTTCTGAGGGCTGCGGCCCTTTTCCGCCCAACCCCCGAGGGACGCGCTCCGGCGCGATGGTGGCGGTTCCCTTCCCCTTCCCTTCCCTTAATGATTCAATGTAAATCCTAAGATTTGAATAGACATGTTGAGTTCTTATTCGCATTCTGAGGCTATGAATTTCTTCCCCCTGTGATTTCTAGAGCATTTCGCAGGGTGTACACGCTGGTTTTCTGGACTTCGGCTGTGTGCTGTGTTTCGTGCTGGCAGGGAGGTGCCGGAAAACAGGCAGGGCAAAGCGAAAAGCAAAACGAAAGCAGAACGAAGCACGACGTTTCAGGTCCAGCTCTGTCGTGCGACTCGGGCGACTCGAGAAGATCGCGCCAGGTTTTTCTGACGCCGCCCTTGGCGCGCTCCGCACGCGCGGGAGGCGGGGTCCAGCGCTAATTCAAGAAAGCCGCGCGGACCTCCGAGCCTTTAGGTCCACAGTCGGATCGAGGTATAAGATCGAGGCCGGTTCGGGGAGGGTACCCCAATGTTTTCGTGTTTGTTGGATATTTTTGTGCATCCTGGGGAGGGTACCCCTGGATGTGTTGTGCGCTTTGGCCGTCGGAGGGTCTCGTGCTATTGAGGTATGCGTGTCTGTCTCAGGTCCGACAGTAATCCAAGAAATCCGCGCGGACCTCCGAATTGTTAGGTTTATGTCATTGTTTGTTCCTCGACACTTGTCCTGGAAAAGGGTCGAAGGCTCCATCGGCACACGTTGTGAGACAGGCGAGGCGTCGGGCGGCTCGGGTGGGTGGGTTGGGGTGAGGGCGGGCGGTGCCGCAGGAGAAGCCAGGATTTGAGAGAAAGAGGGAACGAAGGCGGGGATTTGGCTTGAGGATGAGGATCAGGCGGAAGAGCAGGAATAATAATAAGACACATGATACTAAGAGGAAGAGGATGATGAAGAGGGGGCGGGAGGAGAAGGAGGCCGCATGGGGTACGATGATGAGCTTGAGGAGACAGCGCAAGAGGAGGAGGCAGGCTGACAGTGCAGAGATGAGGGGATATGATAACTAGGGACGGGACTGCAAGAGCGACGGGGGGGAGGAGCCAGTCGCACACCAGGCGCACGAATGCGGTCGTCTGGATTGTCATGTCTACCAACATTGAGATACGAGGCCAACCTCTAGATGATTAGGAGGTTGTGGCTGGATGGTTGCAGGTTTCGGCCGCGCCAGATTTTGACAGGTTACTCTTTCTCATCGATACGATTATAGCCATTCAAATTCTTTCGAACGTTTCTAGCAGCTATGCCCTGCCACCGTTTAACCATCTGAATAGCCATTTCCCAACCCTCCTATGCGTCGGGTCCTCGTTTTGAACTCGCAGCGCCGCGCTTCTCCTTCCTTCCTGGTTCCTTCTTCTCCCCCCCTCCTCCTCCATCCTCTTCCATCCTCCTCCCCCTCCTCCTCCTCTTCCTCCTCCTCCTCCTTATTCCTCCTCCTCTCCCTCCTTGTCCATCCCCCTCTTCCTCCGCATCCGCCCCCTCTCCCACCCCAGCTGTGTTTGCGCCACGCGCCTCGGCCCGCCCCGTCGCACGTTTCCGGCCCCCCGGAGCTCCACCCGACGGCCCCGATGGGCGCGTCCGCACAGCGGCGCCGCACCAGTTTCCGCACACCTCTCCAGGGCTCGTGTCGATCCCACCGATTCGATTCGATTCGACTTCGATGGCCTCCGACGCCGATGCGGTTCGACTCCGGATTTCGACTTGGATCCCGAGTCCTCAGTGGAGGCATACGTGCTAGCTTGCCAATGTCTGCCGATGCGACTTCTCCCGACGCGGCTGCCGACTTTTCCGTCGATCCGATTCGTTTCCGATCCAACTTGTCGACTCGATTCTGGGCCCTCCTTTCTCTCAGACATTTCCTGCCTCCCAGGGAGCTCCACCTGCGGCCACAGTTTACCAGCCTTCAATGTATCCCTATCCCTAAGATTGACACGCCAAAGGGCGACGACAATCTTGGGGATTCGCCCTCAAAAATAAGGGAATCCCTAAGATTGCCATCGTGATGAGGAGGTGCCCAGCATAGGGATGGGGATATGTTCCAGGCTGGTAAACAGTGGGTGCGTCCGCATGGCGACGCCGCGCACATTTCGGTACAGCACGCACACGCTTCCCCCCCCCCCAGGGAGCTCCACCTACGGCCGAGGGCCTCTGGGAGGCCTCTTGGGTTGTCTGTTGGCCGTAGTGGGGCCGTCTTCGGCTCATCTTGGGCCGTCTTGGAAGGCGCCTCGGGGCCGTCTCGGGCCCTCCTGGAGTCTCCGCCGTATTGGACGTGTATTGCGCAGGTTCGGAGGCAATCTTGGTTGTCTTCAAAGCGGACCGTGGGGACTTTGGAGGGGTTTCCCGATTCAGTGGGAACTGTTTGGGAGGGCATCCATCAATCATAAACCTCGACACGCCAAAGTACCCTGGGGCAAGCCACGGGAGGCGGAAGTTCTGGCGTTCGGCCCAGCTTTTCACCGTTCTGGACGCCCGAGATGGGCACGGAAAGAATGGGTACGATGCCCAACAGCAGTCTTTGTTCATTCTGAACAGGATTCGCTGTCCACGCCGCCGCGGCCTGTGTCCATTCGAGACAGAAGGCCGCCTGCCCAACAGCGGCCGCTGTTGGTTTGGGACAACATTTGTTGTTGGGCATTGTACCCATTCTTTCGGTACCCATTTCGGGTGTCCAAAACCGTTCTTGGGTTGTGGAGCAGAGGAATCGTATATGTCTCGCAGGAGGCCTCCTGGAGGTCTATCTGGGGCCTCTTGCGGTTGCTCGGGGGCCTCCTGGCTGTCTCAGGGGGCCATCTCGAGGGAACAGGCTTGAACGCCAGTTCGTGACGTCTTGGGAGCCCCTGGGGCCCTTTTGGGGAGCTTGGAAGCAGGGCCTTGGAGCAATATTGCATGCCTCCTGGACCGCACTGGGCGTTCTTGAGGCCGAAAAGGCGAGGAGGCCACCATCAGCGTACACACCTAACTTTCAAGTGCTTGGGCAGCTTAGGAGGCGCCCATGAGAGCTCCATCCAGGACGGGCCCCAGGACAATCTGAAACCACTTTGGACGCGTGGGATTCCAACCGGGCCTCGAGGCCGCCAGAGAAGTCACGCGGTTAGCCCCAGAAGCGCCCCTGGGCGTTCGGCCCTTCTGTGAGCAATTCGCGCTCACGAGAGTCACGCAGCAGAACTCACAGGTACCTTGGGGCATTGGGGCACTCTTCTCATTGCCTCGCTTCACGGTGTGGAGAACGTGCACTTTGTTAATACTATACGTAGCTTCACTTGTCAAACTATGTCGAGTAAGGTAACGCTTGCATCTCGTCCTCGTAATATACACCAGGTATTGCTATAATTGGACCAGTTCGTCCGACTTCTCTAGGCGTTCTAATTGTTGCTTCTTTCCAAGCTGTTCTAACTGTTCTAAGTCCTCAAACTTTTCATGTTCACCTGGCTGACTAGCCTTGTGGAGGACGATCTATGGAGAGGAACCATGTTGCCAAATATTTCCCAGATGCCTAAAACATGTGGACAATTGATAATTCCCATAAGCCTGTTTTATACATGTTGAACACATGTTTAAAACATGTTAGGAACAGTTTTCTTACATTGTGAACACACTCTGAATTGTGCGGGTTCGGGTCCGTCGGTTTCGGTCCTTGGTTGTTGTCACTAAAGGGAGGTTACTAAAGGGAGGCTTGTCCACCGCCGAATAACGAGAGCAAGCGAGAGAGAGAGAGAGAGACGCACAAAACAGCGCCTTTCAGGAGGATGCCGAGTGTGACTCCACCACCTTCAACACGGCGATGGCCGCGTGCGACCGAGGACACGACCCCCGCTTGGGTCTCCGAGGAGACGGAGGAGGGGAGAGGGAGCAGGAGAGGGACGAGGGGGGGCGTCGGCAGGAGGGCAGACAGGGACATCGATGCCACAGGTCGTCTGTCCCCCAACGGAGGCTGGGCTCACAGAGGTGTCAGACCACGGCCCAGGGAGGAGGAGGAGGAGGAGGAGGACGAAGAGGAGGAGGAGGAGGAGGAGGAGGAGGAGGGCCTTGGCCGGGAAGGCCTTCACGATGGTCTTGGCCGGCTTCGCTTCCACCATGACGACAAGCTTGGCGAACCTTTCGCGCGAGGACGCTGACCTTGCACGGCCATATAGGTCCTTTTGGGATCGGAGGGTTTCTCCGCGGGTGCTCATCGTAAGCCTGGGCGGGCAGCCAGGGCTGAGGCCATGAAGAGGCTCGCGCGGACATTCGCACGTAAGCTGCCCGGGTAAGGCCGCGCGTCAGCGCATTCGTTTTCATTCGGTGTGCCAGGATGGCGGCCTGCATATGGCATCGCGCACAGTCGCCGCGACGTCGTGCGTGAGACCCCTTTCTCTTCATCGCGCACTTGTCGGCCCACGCCGCGTGGCGTGGTGCCTGAAACGTGCTCACGACAACAATCCATGATCAGGGCTGTCCACGATCCGATCGACGCGGCCATTCGTTCCAACTCCTGCGAGCGGCACCGGCCAAGTCGATGAGCCACCACTGGGAGCGAGGCACTTCGCCGCTGCTTGCAGCTGCGGGCTCGCTCGCGCAGGGCTTCGCACTCGCGCAGGGCCTTGCAGGGCCAGCGCCACATGGGGCTCCTCAGCGCGCGCGGCAGTCTCGCAAGGCCACCGAGGGGTGCATGTCCGTTCCTCCCCGCACCCGTTGGATGACCAGTCCAGCCGTCGGGCCAAGTCGCGTGTCGAAGTACCCCTGCGAGGCCGCCGCATACGGCTTTTCCATTCGATTCCCGAAGGGAGAGCGAAGGGGAAAGGGAGGAGTGGAGGAGGCGGAGGAGGAGGAGGAGAGGGAGGGCGGGAGGGAGGGAGGGAGAAGAGCAGCAAGAGGAGAAGTAGGGCCCGAGGGAGGGAGGACAAGGGAAGAATTAAAACAACAACAAGAAGAAGAACAACAACGAGGTCGACGAGGAGGAAGAGGAAAGGGAGGAGAGAAAAAGGAGGATGAGAGGGAGGGCGGGAGGGAGGGGGGAGAAGAGTAGGAAGAGGAGAAGGAGGGCCAGATGGAACGAGGGAGAGAAGGAGGACGAGGAGGAGCACGAGGACGGCGACGGAAACGAGGAGAAGAAGAGGAGGAACGAGGGAGGAGAGGAAGAGGAGGAGGAGGACGAGGACGGGGAAAGGGGGAGGGATGAGAGGAAGAGGAAGGGGAGGAACAGGACGAGGACGGCGACGGGGACGGGGACGAGGGGTGGAAAGGAGGAGAGGCAGAGGAGGATGAGAGGGAGGGCGGGAGGGAGGGAGGGAGGGGACTAGGAAGATGAGAAAAGAGGGCCGGAGGGAGGGAGGAGAAGGCAAAACAACAAAACACAAACAGAATACAGTAACAACAACGAGGACGAGGACGAAGAGGAGAGGAAGGAGAGGAAGAGGAGGATGAGAGGGAGGGAGGGGGGGAGAAGAGCAGGAAGAGGAGAAGGAGGGCCGGAGGGAGGGAGGACAAGGAAAAACCAAACACACAGAAGACAAGGAAAGCAACATAACAAACACAAATAGCAAGAACAACAACGAGGACGAGGAGGAAGAGGAGCTGCGCCTCCGAGCCGCAGCCCTCGGCCGCGAGAGGCGGCAAGTGGGAGCTCGCGCTGCGCCTGCTGCGGCGCATGGCGGAGGCGTGCCGCCGGCGCGGTCGCCGCCACCACTCCTCCTCCTCCTCCTCCTCCTTCTCCTCCTCCTCCTCCTCCTCCTCCTCATTCTCCTCCTCCTCCTCCTCCTCCTCCTCTTTCTCCTCCTCCTGCTCCTCTTGCTCCTCCTGCTCCTCTTGCTCCTCCTGCTCCTCTTGCTCCTCCTCCTCCTCTTGCTCCTCCTCCTTCTCCTCCTCATCCTTCTCCTCTTCCTCCTCCTCCTCCTCTTCATCCTCCTCCTTTTTCTCCTCCTCCTCCTCCTCCTCTTTCTCCTCCTCCTCCTTCTCCCCACCCCCCTCGGCCTCCTCCTTCTTTTTCTTCTCCTCCTTCTCCTCCTCTTTCTCTTTCTCATTCTCCTCCTCCTGCTCCTCTTGCTCCTCCTCCTCCTCCTTCTCCTCCTCCTCCGCCTTCTCTATCCCTTTCCTTATACATAGCTTTTCCCTGTCGCATCCCGAGGCCAGTTTTTAGGGCGGTCCGGGCCTTTCGCCTGAGACCTCCTCAGCATTTCTGATTCCGAAGTCTAAAAATTGACAACAGCTTCACAGATGGAGGGCGGGTCGCTTTCAAAATGTTGCTGCCGCTTTAGCGCGGCGCACATTCATTTCAGCAAATTGGAAGAGTTTCACGGATTGGGGGCGGGTCGTTTTCAAAATGTGGTTCTCGCCTGAGCGCCTCGCGCATTCATTCAGCACGCCTTCAAGAGTCTCACGGACTCCCATCATCATCGTGCCAGAAATAGTGTTTGGAAAAGATTGGGGTTCTTGCGAGTGCAACAGTTATGTTGGTTCGCTGTGTTGAAGTCCAAGGAATGGCGTTCTGGCGCGACTCTGGACCGCCAGGACGCAACAGTCAGGTTGATCCGTGGCGTTGGAATCCCGGGAACAATGTTTTGACATCTTTCATGGTATTCAAACGGTTGTCGTCCAACGATGCAGTTAACTCAATGGAAGAGAGAGCTTGAGAGGGTTTATTCCAACATCGTGGGTGACCTTTGGGTTTACAACACTGGTCCTCCTCCTCATCCTCCTGCTCCTCCTCCGCTTCCCCCCCCCCCTCCGCCTCCTCCCCCTCCGCCTCCTCCTCCTCCTCCTCCTCCTCGTCCCCCTCCCTCCTCCTCCTCCTCCTTCTTCTTCTCGTCCTCCTCCTCCTGCTCCTCCTCCTGATCCTCCTCCTCATCTTCCTCCCCACCTCCTCCTCCATCTCCTGCTCCTCCTCCTCCTCCTGATCCTCCTCCTGCTCTTCCTCCCCCTCCTCCCCTCCCCCCTCCTCAGTCTCCTCCACTCCTCCTCCTCCTCCTCCCTCCTCCTGCTCCTCCTGTTCCTCCTCCTCCTCCTCCTCTTTCTCCTCCTCTTCCTCCTCCTCTTTCTCCTCCTCTCTCCTCCTCCTCCTCCTCCTCCCTCCTCCTCTCCTCCCCCTCCTCCTCCACCCCCCTCCTCCCCTCCCTCGCTCCTCTCTCCTCTCCTCCTCCTCCTCCTCCTCCTCCTCCATCCTCCTCCTCCTCTCCTCCTCCTGCTCCTCCTCCTCCTCCTTCTCATCCTCCTCTCCTCCTCTTCCTCCTCCTCCACCCCACTCCTCCTCCTCCTCCTCCTCCTCCTCCTCCTCCTCCTCCCTCCTCCTCCTCCCCCCCTCCTCCTCCTCCTCCTCCTCCTCCTCCTCCTCCTCGTCCTCCTCCTCCTCCTCCTCCTCCTCCTCATCTTTCTCCTCCTCCTCCTCCTCCTCCTCCTCCTCCTCCTCCTCCTCCTCCTCCTCCTCCCCCTCCAGTTGTTTCCTTCTACCTAACTTCTCCCTGTCTCACCCCGAGGCCAGTTTTTAGGGCGGGCCGCGCGTTTTGCCGGGGGCTCCCTTACCGCTCATGGTTCTGAAACCCAATACGTTGCAGCAGCTTCACAGATGGAGGGCGGGTGTTTTTTCAACATGTGACTCTCGCCTTAGTTCTGCGCGCATTCGTTTTAAACCTTTACAAGAGCTTCACGGATTGAGTGCGGGTCGTTTTCAAATTGTGGTTTTCGTTTTCGCGCCGCGCACATTCGTTTAAAGTCGCTGCAAGAGCTTCACGGATTGAGGGTGCGCTGTTTTCAAACTGTTGTTCTCGCCTCGGTGCCGCGCACATTCGGTTTAAAGCTTGGCAAGAGCTTCGAAGATTGAGGGCGGTTCCTTTTCAACATGTGATTCTCGCTATAGTCCCGCGCACATTCTTTTCAGACAGTTGCAGCGGTATCGCGAACTCCCATGATGAACGTGCCAGGTACTGCGTCCTGGGAGGATTCAGGATTATGCGGGTGCAACAGTTATGTTGGTCCGCGGTGTTGAAGTCCCCAGAAATTGCGTCCTGGTACGACTCAGGATCGTCAATACGTAGCAGTCCAGTTGATCCGTCGCGTTGAAGTCCCGAGAACAATGTTTTGGCATGTTTCACGAAGCAGTTCCCTCAATGGAAATGAACCGCAGTATGGGCCTATGAAGTGGGAGTTTGGGGGAAGGTTTATTCCAACATCGTTGGTGACTCTTGGGTTTGCGCTGGTCCTCCTCCTCCTCCTTCTTCCCCTCTCCTCTCCCTTGTCCATTCATTCCACTTGCAAATCAGAGTGAGGGGGCCGAACGGTCATTCATTGTCCCTGGGTGCGTCGCTGAATAAGGAATTCGTGGTGAGAAATAAGTTGTTTGCGCTGTTGCTGTTGAGTTCTCATCTCTGAAGAATAATTATTGTTGGTCCCCCCCACTGGTGCATACTGTTTTTTCTCAATCAAAGTGTGCCCCTCGACGCTCGCACCCGGTTTTTTGACAGGGAAAGTCTTCCTGCTCAAACTGGCCCCCTGGCCCCCGGGTTACAACAACAACGGTTCCCGCCTGGGATTTCCTTACAATTCAGCCAGGACCCCCGATCCCGCCCGAGACGTCCTCGCATTTTATTCAGGAATCGCGCTCTCGCTTGGGACTTCCTTACATTTATGCAGGAATCGCTCTCCTGGCGTTCTGGAGTCGCGCTCTCGTTGGAGATTTGTTTGCAACTTACTGAAGAATGGCCTTGCGTTGGAATTTCTTGCAATTTGCCCAAGCGCCGCGCTTCCGACACCCAGGCACCCAGGAATCGCGCCCGTTGTGGCCCCATGTGCATGCCCTTCGTGGCCCCGTTAACGCCATTTGTGTCCCCCTCACTGTCCTACGTGGCCCAGTTGCTACCTTCAGTGGCCCCATAGTTGCCTTCTGTGGCCCCGCATTATCTGCACTTCGTGGCCACCGCTCGTTCGCGCTCTTCGTGGCCCCATACACATTCCCTTCGTGTCCCCGCTGTCGCCCTTCGTGGCCTACTTCGTGCCCTTCGTGGCCCTGCTGTCGTTCTCTCTCGCTCTCGCTTTCGCTCGTCGTCGCCGTCGTCGTCGTCGCCGTCGTCTTCGACGTCGTCGTCGTCGTCTTCGACGTCGTCGTCGTCGTCGTGGTCGGTCCCCTGTCCATCCCTCTTGGGGTCGGGTCGACGGTCCGCGGCCGCCCTGCCGATCAGCGCTGCCGCTGGCCAGGCCGACGGTCAGCGGCCGCCCCGCCGCTTGCCGGGGCCCGGCCTGCAAGGAAGAAAGGTATACCCCCAAAAGGGGTTCGATCGAAAACGAAGAGGGCGGGTATCGAGGGTTTGGGAAATACGCGTTATTGGAAGCTCGAACGTATAAGGGCGAACAGTCTTAAAATTGTTGTTGCTGCTGCTGTTGTTCTTGCTGCTGCTGTTGTTGAAGATTATTACTTCTAAAGAATAATTATTGTTGGGACCCCTGGTGCACGGCCCCCCCGCCGCGCCTAGGCCGCAACCACATTTTCATCATTTTCGAGCGAAAGCCCTTGACAAAACGATGTGATCCAGATCCGGTTGTTTTGTTCCCCCCCGCTTTCCCTTGCAAAAAACAATATAAAATGACATTTCTTGTTCTACATAACCACATTTCAGAATCCATTGCAAAAAATGACACAAAGTGCACATTCGCGCGCGCAAGACGAAATCCTTCCAAAACCTTTGTTTTCGTAACGATTTTAACATAAAAACATCAAAAACCCAATGGTTTTTCAAAACAAAGTTGTGAAAATTCTATCCCGCGCGCTCTTGCGGATTCGTAGGAAACCCAACACTTTTTTAACATTTCTGTCAAAAGGGCTTTTGCGAGCAACTTTTTCACGTGCTTCGAACTTCTGCAACAACGGTTGCGCACCTGCCAGGGCCATCATCCCTGTCAAATAATACCATGCGGGACACATTCGTTTTTTCTTCGCGCGCGCACGCCGTCGTCGTCGGCCGCGGGGCCCTGAATAGTAGCCACGGTCGTCCGCATGCCACGAAGTGAAGTGTCCGAACGTCATAGGGCGGGAAGCTGGGTGTGGGTGGTGGCGAAGAGTCGTTTGGAAATTTGGTAGAGCTTGAACCGGCCCCCCCACAAAGTGGGGGTATTGCCCGCCTCCTATGAAAACCCTGGCACTGGTGAGAACGGAGTGTCCCCACGTGCTAGTAATTGTTGAACATTATTTCTTCTAAAGAATAATTATTGTTGGGACCCCTGGTGCGCGACCCCCCCGCCGCGCCTAGGCCGCAGCCACATTTTCATCATTTTCGTGAGGAAGTCTCAGGCAAAACGATTGGTACCGGATCCGGTTTTTTGTTGACGCTCGTTTTCCCTTGCAAAAAACATTATAAAATGAAAATTCTGGTTCTTAGTTGATCAAATTTCAAGAATCCCTTGCAAAAAATAAGGGAAAGTGGACATTCGTGCGCGCAAGACGAAATCCTTCCAAAACCTTAGGTTTCGTAACGATTTTAACATAAAAACATCAAAAACCCAATGGTTTTGTAAGAAAAAATTGTCAAAATGTCCTTCCGCGCGCTCTTGCGGATTCATAGGAAACACACTACTTTTTAAACATTTCTGTCAAAAGGGTCTTTGCGTGCTACTTCTTCAGGTGCTTTGAACTTCTCCAACGACGGTTGCGCGCCTGCGAGGGCCACCATCCCT